ATCATCATCATCATCATCATCATCCTTGAGGAAGTCTTTGCAAACAGGGATAGAATCAAGATCACACAAAGGGATAAAAACAGTTTATAAAGTCTTAATTTGGCCACACTTGGAATCCTGCATCCAGTTTTGGTCACCGTGATATAAAAAAGATGTTGGAGACTCTGGAAAGAGTGCAGAGAAGAGCAACAAAGAGGATTAAGGGGCTGGAGGCTAAAACATACGAAGAACAGTTGCAGGAACTGGGTATGTCCAGTTTAATGGAGAGAAAGACCAGGGGTGACAGCGTAGCAATCTTCCAGTATTTGGGGGGCTGCTACAAAGAAGAGGGGGGGTCAACCTAACCTCCAAAGCACCTGAGGGTAGGACGAGAAGCGACGGATGGAAACTCATCAAGGAGAGAAGCAACCTGGAACTAAGGAGAAACTTCCTAACAGTGAGGACATTTAACCAGTGGAACAGCTTGCCACCAGAAGTTATGGGTGCTCCATCACTGGAGGTTTTCAAGAAGAGACTGGTCGGCTGTTTGTCTGAAATGATAGAGGTTATCCTGCCCAAGCAGGGGGTTGGACTAGAAGACCTCCAAGTTCCCTTCCCCCCCCCTCCAGCACTGATCATGTTCCCTAGTTGGGTCATGAAACATCTGCGAGAAGATAACCAGGTTCAGAGAGAATTAAGGATCCACACACCCCTCCTCCTCCTCCTCTCCACCAACATCACTCTCTTCTAACACTGATGATGTTGCCTAGATGGGTGATGAAACGTCTGCAAGAAAACCACCAAGCTCAGAGACCACCAAGGACCCCACAGCCCCCCTCCTCCTCCTCCTCCTCCTCCTCTTATAATAATAATAAAGTTGGAAGGGACCTTGGAGGTCATCTAGTCCAACCCCCTGCTCAAGCAGGAGACCCTATACAATTTCGGACAAATGGCTGTCCAGTCTCTTTTTAAAAACCTCCAGTGTTGGAGCATCCACCGCTTCTGGAGGCAGGTGGTTCCACTGGTTAATTGTTCTCACTGTCAGGAAGTTTCTCCTTAGTTCCAGGTTGCTTCTCTCCTTGATCAGTTTCCATTCTTCTCCTCCTCCTCCTCCTCCTCTCTGCAAACCCCACTGTCTTCTAGCCCTGATGATGTTAGTCAGTTCGGCACTAAAAACATTCGGAAGGAAACAAGCGCAGAGAGCACCAAGGACCCCCCCACTTTTGGGGGGTACTCCTGTGAGTGAGCAGAAATTGCCAGGTGGATCCTCCTCCTTCCTGCCTGCTTGAAGGGGGGGGGGGACTGACATTCTCCATCTTTCACACCCCTAGCCCCCATTTTGGCCAGTCTCCCCCCCCCTTGGTCACAGCCCCCGTCGGGCACCACATGGGGGGCACCGCTGGTTGAGTCAGATGCTCTTGGTCCCCCCCCGTCCCGCCTGGAAGCCTGCTGGGGCCCGCGTGCGCAGGGTGGAAGGGAGTTCCACGGGCGTCTCTCGACGCTCCGCGTGGCGCGGGGATGCGCGGCCGGCGGACGCGAGGGGGGTCTTTCCCTCCCGACCCTGGAGGAGAAGGAGGGGAGGGGGCTGAACTGTCCTGGCCCCCCCCTCCCAGGCCGGGCAGCGGGGGGGCGCGTGGGCACCTGCTCGGGGCGCGCAGGTAGCGCTTGGGCAGGTGGGCGCACCGGGGAGCGGCTCCCGGGGGAAGCGCGCGCTCCGTCCGTCCCGTCCGTCCGTCCAGCCGGGCCCGGGTCAGAGGTCC